TTTAATTTCCGTACATCTTCTCTCTCTTTTATTTTAGTTTTTTGTTAATCAGCTAATTCTATTTTGTCCTATTGACGATGCTTTCATGACCCTATTTTTTTACATAAGTTCTTAGTTTCCATCGAAAGCTTAGCTGGAGTTTTTGCCTTGACGGCTACTTCAAGTGCAGCCTTCCTTTTATTTATGTCTTGAAATGTTTGTTGTCTAATCAAATTTTTGGTTTGAGATCCTCATCACTGAGAGTGAAATTCTGTTTTTGGATGTTAAGCTAAATTCTGTCGCTTTGTCTTCAATTTAGCTAAGTTTGTCTCGGTTTTTGTTTAGTTTATTCCTTTCATTCTGAGTGTCATTTAAGTTGGCTTCTGACAACCTCTATGTTCGCTGCCAACATTTACTTTATTAATAACTTTTTACTATATCGCGCCTATATATAGATAGATATATATTGTGTGTGTTGTGTGTGTGTGTGTGTGTGTGTGTGTGGGTGTGTGTGTGTGTGTGTGTGTGGTGTGGATGTGTGTACCATATATGCGAGAGAGAGAGGGAAAGCAAATTAACGATGATGTTTATAGACGAGGTTTTAGGACACAATAACACAAAATTATTGGCTACAATAGTATCGTGTTATCCAGAGGAATAATGATTTTAATATTTATTGATTCTGTATACCATTTGATTATAACGACGCATATCTAAATAAAACAGCGGTGGTATCTGGATATATATCATACCTTACATGTTTTTTCAATCCTTTATTTTTGACATGGTACACGAACTGGAAATTATCGATAAATTGAAAGCCTGTATAGTTTTGGCAATGTCCAAGCGCCATTGTTTCTGAGTGTCTTACTAGCGCTGTCGTGCCTTCGCGTATATCGTGGATTCACGGAAAATCACTGAAAGTGCCTCTTTACACTGCGGTTTACCCTTCACCGACAAAAGACGTGGATGTACTCTGGTGAGATTTTTTTTGTAGAGTAAATGATACTGAAAAAAAACTTATAGCCATAAATCAAATAATCACGTTCCTGACTTATATTTTCTTACCCTTTATTGTAATAAGAAATATAAATAGCAAAGATAATGAACAGCAAAACCAGTAACATATTTGCGTGAAGGAATGTTATTCCAAAACTATGCACCGCACCTACCGGGAGAGTTCCCATAGTTAATATTACAGGTGCAAGAAGTTTAACTCAGAAACCGAAACAAAACGAAATTTGTATGATCATGGAAGAAAACTGTCACTTATAGTTGTAAAACAAACAAATGTACTTTTGCTTTCAGAATACCGAGTCTTTGCATTTCGGCTTGGTCCTTCCTACCATTTTTGTGCTTTTACACCTTTTGATGGCTTTTAACATCCAAATTTTACAGTTTTCAAGGTATTTTCGGTACTTTCTCGTGACAAAAATACATTTTCTGGTTTGTGTAGCCATTTAAAAATACGTATATTCCATTGGTCTTCTTCTACGAGTTTATTTAGGGGTTTCATTTCCACATACTGCTTTTTCTCCACCGTCCTTCGGTACCATTGTGGCCCATCTGCTCTTCGATGTTCATTTTCTTTCCACGTCGGCATCCACATCCAGCCCGTCTTTCTTTGTCTTCCTCTGCTCGGATTGGCAGATCCATCGCTTTCCGTATGCCTTCTTTTCACAATGGCCGAACCATGTGAGTCTTGCCTCGTCGATCTTGCGACTAATGCTTGTGACTCCTGCGTCAGCTAACACCTCTTCGTTTGTTCTCTTCTCTCTTAGACTGATTAATTGTTATCATATATTATTATCATTATTCAATATGCTATTATTCCTTATTATTATCATTGTTATTATATTTATTATTCATTAATAATTAGTATCTATTATTATTATCATCTTTATTATTACCTTGTTTTTAATGTTTTACTCGTTTCATGCTTTCTTTGTGGTTTTCAAGGATGGAAGACCCCTTTTTAGAATATTTATGTTCTTACTTTGTTTAATGTATATATACCTTCAATAGATTGATGAGAATTGAGTTATGTGTAATCCGAAATGTGGTCGCAGCCTGGTGTTTTCTTCTTAATTATATTATTATAATGATTATTATTATCATTCTATTTATTGTTATTATTATTAGTGTTGTTGTTGCTGTTGTTGTTAGCAGTATATCAATGGTATTCTTATTATTATTATTTTAATAATCATTATTAAAATATATTATAATAATCACAATTATTATCATTATTATTATCATTATTGTTATTGTTAATTATTATATTATTTTATTATTATTACATTTTATTATTATCAGCTTTTGATTTTATTAATTATATCGTCATTATCATTGTTATAGTATTTTTACTATCGTATTTATTTTATTATTTTCACGTCATAATTATAATTACAATGGTTATATTACTATAATAATAATAATAATATTATTATTCTTCATCATTAAAATTATTAACATATAATTAATGATTAATATTATTATTATTGTTATTATCATTGTTATTATATTATAATAATCATTTATTATTATCTTTCTTATTATCTACTCTTATTATTATTATTACTTCTTATTACTATTATTATTATTGTAATTATTATTATCGATTTTATCATTTTATATTAAAATGCTATAATTATTACAATCTTTAATTATTGTTATTATTATTATCATAATCATTATTATTATTATATAATAAACCTCTTTCCTATGTGGGTCCATCAAGCTAGCTAATTCCTTCAATTCTAACAATTTTCCTCGTTTCAATGTCAAAACGCCGCACTTTCATCCCAAATTCCATACCCAATGTCATTGCTGAACATGTGAAAACTCCCCCCACCACCTCCCCCCCCCCCCCCCCCCCCTCCACCCCCCCCACCCCAACCCCCCCCCGTTCTAACTAGCATCATCTGATCTTCAGTATTAGCGTAAAAACCTTCAGGTCGGTCCATAAACAATAAATGGTTGACCTTGTATTCCTTCTTTCCCCCTTCATTAAGGCCGCTGTCACTTCCGTAATATCAGTGACAATGGTATATACTAAGGGCAAATAATAGTGGCGATAGACTATCTAAAATCCCCCTCTTCACAAAACCTCTCCAAGTTGGATGTCAGTGATACCTTTCACTGTTTCATGCTTCTTCCAAGAAAGTCCCTTACATCTCCGTATGCCAAACATCTCCATCCAATCGCTTATCAATTATGGGGGACTAGGGCTTTTCGGTAATATAACGAGACAGGACAGATTCGTAAGCCTTTCTTACAATCTATGAGTATGGTTCTGTCTATGAGCGAGTGAATCTTTGGTGCCCCTACTTCTTCGCCTACATCCCTTCTGCTTCATTGGTTAATATATTGCTCTGTTCTAAGATATTGGTACAATTTCATTTGATACAATGCCCGTCAAAAGTTTCCACATTAAGGAAGGCAGGTAATAGGTCGATAACTATCACCGCTCTGCCTTTCTCGTGTTTTTTGTTTTCTTTTTTTTTGACAAAGCACTGTTCGACCATGTGTTGTCATTAAGGACCTCCTCTTCTGTAACATACCGTCAATTTGGGATGCGAGTCTTCATGAAAGTGGTAAGTGTTTTGCCAATGTCCCTGTTACTCCATCTGGTTCCTGGTGCGTTTCCCAATTCGAAAGTTTCCTACTTTGCTTTTTAACTTCTCTGAGTCATTTTCACGTGTTCTGCGTGTGTTTCTATCACGATCTATTTCTTCTTCAACCCTTTCAGCCATACAGCAGCTCTATTGTGCTCCTCCGCCACACTCCAAATTTCACCCTGGAATTCTCGCATTCGGTATCTCGAACTTTGTTAAGTTCTCAATAGAACTCTGATTCAAACCAAACAGCTATTTTGCTAAACTGTTCAATTATGTCTTAATATCTCTTCAATTTTCACCTTTTTCCACCATTCTTTGTTTAATTCTTCTACGGCAGTTTTATCCCCTTTCTGTTCGTTGTACTTTACATTAGTTGTTTGATTTTATGTTTCTCTTCGAACCGTAATTGTCCTTTCAAGCTCTCTTTCCAGTAAATTAAACATCATGTATCCATTCCTTTATATCAACCCTCTATTTCCGTTTCCAACTCGTTCATTTCGTTTCTGTCGGAGCACCTGTTTTCAACCAATTTCGACGGAAACTCATACCCTTCCAGCTATGATCAGATTGTTTGTTTCTGTGAGTTCCAGCACTTCATGTACTTATTGATTAATTTACTTTTCAACCTGAATTTTGAGAGCTTTCTGTATAACTTTTGAACATGATTTCCATCACTTCTCTTTTCCTTCTACTAGTATCGCTTTTAGCCTTTCCACATTATCTTTGTTTCTCACTTGCTTTTGCCAGTCCTCATCTGTTTATACATCATTTTCAACCCACTATCGTTACTTTGGTTCCTCCCATTTCTTGTTCCTCAATTGCATCGTACACTTCATTATTGTTTTTCTCAATCTACCGTAGCCCGTCTTTCATTTCCTAAAACTCAGCATCCTCCTTTCTTTTTATTTCTCCACTCAAGTTATGACAACCATCCATGTTTCCTTATTGTTCTGCTTGATCACATATACGTTGTTCAAACATTCCTCTTTCCCTCCATTCTCTAAACATGCGTTGTCTGTACCCTCTCCTGGTTTACCGTTCTCATCCAAAGATTACTTCTTTATAAAGCACTCCATTTGACTTGTTGATTCTCTTACTCCATTTTATTTCTAACAGTAGCAGGGTGACGATGGGGTCTTGCTGCTGTACTGAGAAACACCTGCCGGGCAGGTGCCCTTCACCTAGGGTTCCAGTTCATTAACGCCGTTATTCGCAATTACTTTGATTAGACATTTCATACACAAGAACCTTAGTGATTATAGGTTACACAACCACCGGTATTTTTATCGAGACATTATCTCTAGATGATTGCCAACCAAGCCTCAAGAGCGCTTCGCCTGCCCGTGAAACATGGTTATTCCCCGCCGACGTAACCCCGGTATTTCAGACCACGGGGGAATTATTATTATTATTATTATTATTATTATTTTATATCGTTCATTATTATTATTTTTAGATTATTACTATCATGCGCATTATCATTATCATTATCATTATATTATTATCATCATTATTATTATCATTATCATTATTATATTATTATTATTATATTATTATGATTATGATTATGATTATGATTATTATGATTATTATTATTGTTGCTATTATCATTTTTATTATTGTTATTATTATAATTATTATTGTTATTTTTTCTTATTATTATCATTCTTCTTATTATTATTGTTATTATCATTACTATTTTTGTTATTATTATTATCATTTACATTATGTTATCATTGTTATTATTATCATTTTTATTATTATTGTTATTATCATTATTATTATTATTATTATTATTATTATTATTATTATTATTATTATTATATCATTATTATTATTATTATATTTATTATTCTTATATTTATTATAATAATATATTATATATTATATATTTTTCTTACCATTATTATTATTATTATAATTATTATTATTAACGTCATTATTATTATTATTACCATTATTTTTATTATTGTTATTATTATCGTTATTACTATCATTATTATATTATTATTATTATTATTATTGTTATTATTATTATTATTATTATTATCATTATTATTATTACTATCATTATTGTTATTATCATTATATTTTGTTATTATAATAATAATTATTATTATTATCATTATATTATTATTTACTATCATTATTACTATCATATATCATTATTATTATTATTATTAATATCATTAATATTATTATCAAGATTTTCATTATTATTATAACTATTATT